CACACACACACACACACACACACACACACACGGGTAAGGCCAGAGCAGCAATCATGGCCAAGGTAGGACCCGTCAGGGTATCCGTCTCCTCGCTAGACCCACTGGGCATCGTCTCGCTGATGTACCAAGCCATTCAAGTCCTCATCGCTTGGTTCTTTGCGCCTTTGCCTCCCTCGGCTCAACAAGCACAGAAGCCGCTCGCAAAGATCGCAGTCATTGGTGCGGGTATCACGGGTGTTTCCACCGCTGCTCATCTTGCTGGTCGTGAGTACACGTGCGTAAAGTGCATATGCCCAAGTCGTACCGCTTATCGACCGGACAATCCTTTTGCGATATTGCAGATGGCTTTGACGTCACTATCTTCGAGGCGGGTTCGGAAGAGAAACTTGGAGGAATCTGGGCAAATGTGAACAGCAGTTCTGGACTGCAGATCAGCTCCATCTTGTACCGCTGGCACCCGCTCGTCCGCTGGTCCAAAGGCTACCCCAAGCGAGATGAGATTCTAGCCAACGTCAAGCGCGTCTGGACTCGTTATGGCCTGGACAAGAAGACAAGGTTCAACGTGAGTGATAGCAGCCACGCAAAGCGCTCGGAGAGTTCACGCTGGTGGAACGCTAATAGGCTGCCACGAACCCGTCTCATGCAACGTTGCGCAGACGCCCGTCCAATCTGTCACGCGCCACAAGAGCAGCACAGATCCTGCAGAGAGAGGCAGCGCCAAATGGATCATCAATGGCGACGAAACGCAGGTTTTCGACGGAATCTCTGTCAACGTGGGAACGTGTGGCAAGCCAAAGCGCATGGAATTGCCGGGTCAGGAGAAGTTCAAGGGTCAGATTGTACACTCGAGCGAGCTTGATGATGTCGAGCTCAGCGGCAAAAAGGTGAGAAGAGGGTTGCCTTTGCTGCTAACAGGTGTAGGGTGATTGACCCGTGCGGCTTGGTCATGGCAGGTTCTCGTCGTAGGCGGTGGTGCATCTGGTGTAGAGGCGCTGGAGCTGGCAGTGGAGAAGCAGTCAGAGACTGCCATTATTCTCGCCCGCTCCGACAAGTGGATCATTCCTAGGTGTGAGTGGCTTGCTGATCGATCAAGTATGTAGATCACAGGAAACTCACAGCGATCTCGCTTCGTCAGTCACCCTCGTGGACATCCTTCTGGCTCTTCAACCATTTGGCCGCGAAACCATCACCAGCAAAATTCCCGAGTTCTTGCTAAAGAAGTTGCATTATCGTGACCTCGAGGAAAAGATGGCACCTACTCAAGGTTTCTACCAAGACACGCCAATCGTCAATGTGAGTTGCTCGAGCCAGGTTTGGCGCATGCGCAGAAACGGTTCCAGCTGACATCCAACTTTGACTCTTGTAGACGTCTTGTCTCGAGCACATCCGGGAGGGGAGAGCTGATTATGAGCGCGGCGACGTGCTCGAGCTCACCTCAGACGGCATCGAATTCAACAAGCGCAAGCGCGGACAAAAGAAGGAGACCACTGGCGAAAAGGTCCACTATGACGCCGACGTCATCGTCGTTGCGACTGGTTTCGAGAAGCCAAAGATCGACTTCCTGCCTGACGACTTGTTCCCTGGCGAATACGTGTGAGCCAGGCGCGGCGCTCTCGCCCCTATTTCGCTTTCTCAACTGATCCGTCTTTGGATCCCAGTCGCCCAAACATGTACTTGCAAGTCTTTCCAGTCGAAGATTCCACAGTATTGTGCACGAATTCCACCTTCCAAGCTGCAGTCGGTGAGTGACACTGGTCTGTGAGCGCGCCGCGGAGCTGTGCGCTCACATGTCCGCGCTCACCTCGCACTCAGGTACCGTTGGACACGTGCACATTGGCATCTATGCGCGTATCCTCGCATTGTTCGTCCTTGAGCCGGAGACGAGGCCCGTACCGAAGGACATGCGCCTTTGGGTGGATCTAATTCGTTGGGTGTGAGTGCATGAACCTCCCCTCTCGAAATGTCGACTGCAGCTGCTCACCAAGACTACTGCGCCTGACGCAGCAAGGAGAATGCGCCCGGCGGCGAGCTTAGCTTCTTTACGTACATGGAACTCTGTGTGAGTGGGGCGTGACGCATCGACGAGGCTTTGGCAAGTAGCTCGTTTCTAACCGTTCATCTGTTCCACTTGCTTTCAGATCTGGCTTGTCACTTTCCTGTTCTTCCGTTGGACGCGTATCCAATTCTTTTGTGAGCCAAACTTGGCGGAGAGATTTGTAGCAGCTTCACCTGCTTCGCTGACACAGGCGGCACGCGTCTGCAGTCTTTGTGCTTTTTGGTCTCGGCTTCTGGTCGCGTGACCAAGCTTCCGATGGCAAGCCGGCAGGCAAACCTCGTTTCCATTTGAGCATCACCAAGCGTAAGTTGTCAATTGTGGACGCGGATGGCTAGAACGCACCGACCTTACTGACCTGCTGTCTCTGCAGTAATCCCGCACTACAGACGCAAAGTCATCACTTCGCGCGAGACTAAAGCGAGCGCTAACAAGAAAAAGTCAAGAGGAGAGGCTGTCAAACACTAGTACGATCGTTCGAATGCTTCATCGTGGAGCTCGTCAGCGCTCTTTGCCGGCTCGAATGAGCCCTGGAAAATTGGTCACTCCAATGACTTGATGGGTGCAAATCCAAGTGTTTCTATTAGAGATCAGCGAGGCTTGGCTGTGCTATGTCAAATCAATGATCGAACGAGCACGCGTGGAGTGGTACAGTTGCAGAGGCTTGGGCTAAAGAGCTGTTGCTCAAAGGAAGAAGTATGCAGTGCCGAGCAACGAGACTGCAAGGGCCACTGCTGGTGTGCTCTTGACAGAGGCTGCGCTGTTGCCCTTCTTGTCCGAGGAAGAAGAGCTGCTGCTGCTGTTGCTGCCACCACTGGAGGCTCCACTGCTGCTCACGTTGCCATTGCTGTCGCTTGTGCTACTGCTGCTGCCGCCAGTGTTGTTGATGATGGCATCATTACCATCCACGCTCTGGTAGCACTTTTGATTCACGATGCTGTAGCCAGAGGGGCAGCACACGGTGTCGTTGTTGACGGTGCTGCAAGTAGCATTGTTCGGCTTTGAAATGTTCGTACCAGATGCGATGGGCGCTGTGGTGGATCGCGTCGTGAGCGCCGCCTCTTGACTGGATGCGGACGCTTGAGCTCCCGCTGCGATGGAGGATGCGGACGCTTGCGCTGCCGATGCGATGGAGCCTGCATCTGGAAAAGAAATGCCGTTCTGGAGAATATCACTATTGACGAATCCAGTCATGCCGCCGTCTGCAAGGAGAGCATACGAATGTCACTATTCGGTCAATAGATTGCACACGAGGATTAAGATTGCAAGGGCTTGACTTCTCACCTTGCCTTCTGAAGAGAAGCTTGGCGGGAGCTGGAGTGGCAGCAGGTGCGGGCGCAGCTGCTGCGCTGCTAATCAGAGCCAAGGCGCACACGGTAGATGCGGATGCTGTGGTGAACTTCATGGTGAGGTGCTTTAAGTGATCGAGATCTCACGTGTCTTGAGCAAATGTTGTCGATTGCTGGTGAAAGCAAATGTCGCGGCAATGGTCTGGTAGAGTGTTGAGCGCTTGGACATGCTGGGAAGCTAGATACCCTCTCCCTTTATATGGACCAATCGACACCATGCGAGCTCCCTTTGGAGGCACGCGAATGGCCTGCTTCACCTACTGGGCATCCTCCGCATTGTTGTGCAGTTTGCAAAAGCATGGGCGAATCAACGTGTCTTCGGACCGCTGCGTAGCCTTGCTTTCTATGGTCAAGAGCGACCACATGGTCTTTCTGCAAGGCTATGTGGAGCTGCGAGCACCGCATTTTGAGCTGTCTTGCACGCGCGCGGTACCCGCGCGGCGTGCCGCTGTCAAAGGTGTGGGTGGCCATGCAACTCCGCGCGCGTGTCAGCAGTATGTATACCCGGTACTGTAGCTGCCCCGAGACACGAAACCAATTAATCGTGAATCAGAATCACGAATGGCGTTGCGGCTGAGTCCTTAGCGTCGAACGCCAAACGGCGAAACCTGCATTGCAGCTCCTTCTGGTCAACTCTGAGCCAGACAGTGTGAGTGCCCTCAATGATCCACAACTCATCAGATGTGCTTTCCTGGCCTGTGACGCCTGCTGTATGATGTGAGTGCGGGCATCGGAAGATTGTTTTTGTGCCGCGTCCGACCCGGCGGACTCAACAAATCGCCTCTTCTGCTGGTGCAACTCCTTTTGCGAGATGCTCGCGCCTGACTCGAGCCAACAATTTTCGGTCGCGCATCACCTGCTGGCTCCGAAGCATGACTCTTGAGTCATCAATTAAGAATCCCAAATACGAACGACCCCACCCAGAGTGGCGTCGATTCATGCTGCCTTTGAAACTGAGCATGCAGCTTCCTTGAGCACCACGCGGTCCTTGCATTTGCACAAAGACAATACCTGTGCAAACGTATTCACAGTCGAAACTCTGCTTGTCACCATGGATGCTGAGATGGTCCACAGTCTCTGCGCCGAGCGCCATAGCCGAAGCCTGCACAGTGACGGCAAGTCCGGCAATGCCGGCTCGATACGCTGATGGCAATCTCAGCAGGATCGAGCTCCTCGTGTCAGTAGTCATCTCAACAGACACTCTCTGGGATGTGTGCTCATGAGGCACTCGCCATCCTAAGAAGGGTCGCAAGCAGTCATATCATGATAGCATTGCTGCTGTGTGGCCGAGCCCATCCTCGGCAAGCGTAGGTCGGGCCGGTACTTTAAGGAAGTAGAAAAAGTCGAATGCGATGTGGATGCATATGTGGAAGTGGCCCCCGTCTAGCCGCTCTGCGCAAGGCCCGCGGTCCCCAACATCCACGGCAGGAAATCTTGCGAGCAAAGCGGGCACCAGGCCCTAACCAAGCACCATGAAAGGGTGGTGACGTTTGTCAGCCACCTCTCGCATGCCCGTGTTGCACGGCTCCCAAAGGCGGCAAGGCTGCTCAAGCACGATTCCTGTCCGAGCCGTGGAAGCACCGCTGAGCTTGCCCGTGAACGTCCCGACCTACCTGCCTCGTGCAAACCTAACTACACATCTGCGCCGTGTCCTCTGCGCCGCTGCTGTTGGTCCCCTCGGCTCATTGTCTCTCTTGACGTTCCCTTGCCATCGAGCACTGCCATCACTTACCCTTGATCGCACGTTCCCGAACGCAGCTCGAACATAGCTTCATGCCGCACCGGAACTCTTTTTTGATGGGTGCTTTGTTTTAGAGGCCGCTTGGCGGAACCAAACGGCTCGAGGCTCTACTGTCCTTCCGTCCTCCGACGTGCGAAGTGTCGGACTGAGCAGCTGCACGGTTCTTCGAGAATAGAAAGCGCTCCCACAGAAACGATACTGACCAAGGCGACGACCGTTGGTAGCTTCTGCTCCAAAGCCCGATCGTGCGCCTTCCAACGAGCCGAAAGGAGCAGGTGCTGATGAAGGTGTTCCAATGCAAAGCATCGCTCTTCCAAGCAAGGATCTTAAGATAGGCTTACGATATAAGGTTTGGGCGCAAATCGCACGGTGAGCAGCTGAGCAGGCAGCACTCGCAAATTGCGCCGGTCGGCGGGTCTCTCATCGAGAGAAAGCGGTCAAGCTCCGACGGGCAGGCATGACAAAGCCAGAACTTGCCTAGAAGTTTAACCGAGCAAGGCTGTCGTCCTCACATGGGAAGCCCCGCGAAGAGGTGACTTTGCAAGAAGACGGGACCAAGGCAGCGACGATCCTGGTGCGCCAAGCATGCAGAAGATGCTAGGTACTCGCTGCATCCTCGTCGTCTGCCATGTCAGGCCTCCCATGCTCCTCCAGCCATGTTGCAGTGCGCTCGGCATCACGCCGGACGCTCCACGACCGCACTCTCCCTCCAACGAGAGATCCTTGGCGGCAAAGCCTCCTCTTGAAACGCAGACAGTACAAGCGAATGCGTTCCAATCTGAGGCAGTCGTGTCCCAATGTGCCATCAGACATGACCCCAAAGGCCCAGTCCGAAAGCGATACCGACTAACAATAACTTAGGGTTAGGATCGTCCAATACTCTCGTCGGTGCAACACGCTGGAGCACAGCATTCACGGGGGCTCTCGAAGAGGACCCATACGCGCAAACGCCATCGTACCAGGTGCAGCACCTTCTGTGCAAGAGCGGATCGATGAAACATGGCGCCAGGACACATTCGGCCATGAAAGAGCGGAGAGCGAGAGCAGCGAGCGCGAGAAGCTTTGGCAGTGCAAGGATGGCCGTGATGTCCAAGTGGGCCGCTTCCAGGGTGCGTCGAGAGGTGCCGCGAGAGTCGCAGCAAGAGCAAGAGACAGCAGCAGCAGATCAGGATCATCCACGAAGCGCAAAGTGACAGCGTCACAAGAACAGGAGACGTCGACGAAGATCGAGAAGGATGGTGGAAGAATAGAGGTGGATGGATTCCGTCTCAGAACGGAATTTGAATCCTCAAGGCGCCGCGCGTGGCTAGTGTGCTGGCACCGCGCGACTAGCCAGGGCTGACCCATGACGCGGCGCGTCGCGCACACAGTCACGTGTCGTGCCTTTGCACGCGGCCA